GAATGAAATCTATTCTCCTATTTATTCGGAAAACTTCCCTTTGTAGAAAAATAAAAAAAAAGAACTCTTTTTAGGGCTTTTCGTTCCTCAAGACACAAAGTAGAGAAATAAAAAATAATAAATTAAATTAAACTTTGATTTAAATATCTACAGAAGATATAAATTAATGCAAACAAATTTATCTTAGTGAAAAATGCACTGACCGACTCAAATAATGGGACCCTGCATATTGAGTAAAGAGACACCCTGTATACTGTTTAAAGGGACACCCTGTATATTTTGTAAAGGGACACCCTGCATACTGTATAAAAGGCCACCCTGTTCACAGTATAAAGGGACACCCTGTATATTGTGTAAAGGGAAACCCTGTATATTTTGTAAAGGGACCCTTATACTGTATAAAAAGACACCCTGCATACTGTGTAAAGAGACACCCTGTATACTGTTTAAAGGGACACCCTGTTCACTGTATAAAGGGACACCCTGTACATTGTGGAAAGAGACACCCTGTATATTTTATAAAGGGACACCCTGTCACACCTACTGAACCCCTTGACCAATTTGGGTCAAATTTCAATTTGGAAACTCGGTAGAACCACGGGAATGTTTTTAGCTTTGTTTATAAATTCTGATGTTTGTTGGCTGACTTTTTATATGAAAATCTAGTGTTCGGACAAAGCTGGGTTCCAAAGCTATAATATTGTTTTGTATGAAGACATTCTGTATTTTATATAAGACTTGTAGAATAGATTGGATTCTTGATACTGATTAAGAATAAGAATAACAAAAGAATATTTTCTCTTCTCTGTCCTGAAGTATTATTCCCAAACCCAACTATACCAATATTTACTCTCAACTACCCTATAGTATCATTTCTAAACCAATTATACCAATATTTACTCCCAACTACCCTAGCATCATTACCAAACCAACTATACCAATATCAACTTCCAAGTATCCTAGTGTCATTCCCAAAGCAACTATACCAATATTAACTCCAACTATCCTAGTATCATTCCCAAACCAACTATAAACAATATTAACTCCCAACTATCCTAGTAACATTCCCAAAGCAACTATACCAATATTAACTCCAATTATCCTAGTAACATTCCCGAGCAACTATACCAATATTAACTCCAATTATCCTAGTATCATTCCCAACCCTACTATACCAATATCTACTCTCAACTACCCTTTAGTATCATTCCCAATCCAACTATACCAATATTTACTCCCAACTACCCTAGCATCATTCCCAACCAAACTATACCAATATTTACTCTCATCTACCCTTTAGTATCATTCCCAATCCAACTATACCAATATTTACTCTCAACTACCCTTTAGTATCATTTCTAAACCCAATTATACCAATATTTACTCTCAACTACCCTATAGTATCATTTCTAAACCAACTATACCAATATTTACTCCCAACTACCCCAGCATCATTCCCAAACCAACTATACCAATATTTACTCTCAACTACCCTTTAATATCATTCCCAATCCAATTATATCAATATTTACTCTCAACTACCCTATAGTATCATTTCTAAACCAACTATACCAATATTTACTCCCAACTACCCTAGCATCATTCCCAAACCAACTATACCAATATTTACTCTCAACTACCCTATAGTATCATTCCCAAACCAACTATACCAATATTTACTCTCAACTCCCCTTTAGTATCATTCCCAAACCAACTATACCAATATTAACTCCCAACTACCTTAGCATCATTCCCAAACCAACTATACCAATTCTTACTCCCTAGTAATCTATTATCATTTGAAATCCTGTGTGAGTAAAAATAAAAAATTATGGGAAAAAAACAAATATAAAAGAAAAAAAAGAAAACTTTAAAAAAATGTAGAAAATAACTTAAGCAATTTATCTAAAGAATAAATTGATTTTTCTAAAAAAACTGTAAAATATTAAATTAGTTTTATTATGAAATTAATTCTGGAGATGAAGAAAGTTTAGTCGTTAAAACTATTCAATATCAAGTAGTAAAATATCAATTTAAGAAAAGCAATCTAGCTGAACACAGAATGGAAGGATGAGGATAGGAAAGAAAACTGAATTAAGAAAGAACAATGAATCTAGAAAGAACAATGAATCTAGAAAGAACAATGAATCTAGAAAGAACAATGAAACTAGAAAGATCAATGAATCTAGAAAGAACAATGAATCTAGAAATAACGATGAATCTAGAAAGAACAATGAATCTAGAAAGAACAATGAATCTAGAAAGAACAATGAATCTAGAAAGAACAATGAAACTAGAAAGAACAATGAATCTAGAAAGAACAATGAATCTGGAAAGATCAATGAATCTAGAAAGATCAATGAATCTAAAAAGAACAATAAATCTAGAGAGAACAATGAATCTAGACAGAACAATGAATCTAGAAAGAACAGTGAATCTAAAAAGAACAATGAATCTAGAAAGAACAATGAATCTAGAAAGAACAATGAATCTAGAAAGAACACTGAATTAAAAAAGAACAATGAATCTAGAAAAAACATTGATTCTAGAAAGAACGATGAATCTAGAGAGAACAATAAATCTAGAAAGAACAATGAATCTAGAAAGAACAATAAATCTAGAGAGAACAACGAATCTAGAAAGAACATGAATTTAAAAAGAGCAATGAATCTAGAAAAAAAACATTGAATCTAGAAAGAATACTGAATTAACAAAGAACAATGAATCTAGAAAGAACAATAAATCTAGAAAAAATAATGAATCTAAAAAGAACAATGAATCTAGAAAGAACAATGAATCTAGAAAGAACAGTGAATCTAGAAAGAACAATGAATCTAGAAAGAACAATTAATCTAGAAAGAACACTGAATTAAGAAAGAACAATGAATCTAGAAAAAACATTGATTCTAGAAAGAACGATGAATCTAGAGAGAACAATAAATCTAGAAAGAACAATGAATCTAAAAAGAACAATAAATCTAGAGAGAACAACGAATCTAGAAAGAACATGAATTTAAAAAGAGCAATGAATCTAGAAAAAAACATTGAATCTAGAAAGAATACTGAATTAACAAAGAACAATGAATCTAGAAAGAACAATAAATCTAGAAAAAATAATGAATTAAAAAGAACAATGAATCTAGAAAGAACAATGAATCTAGAAAGAACAGTGAATCTAGAACAATGAATCTAGAAAGAACAATTAATCTAGAAAAAACAATGAACCGAGAAAAAACAATGAACCGAGAAAGAACAAGGAATCTAGAAAGAACAATGAATCTAGAAAGAACAATGAATCAAGAGAGAAGAATGAATCTAGAAAAACAGTGAATCTAGAAAGAACAATGAATCTAGAAAGAACAATGAATTTAGAAAAAAACCAAATCTAGAAATCTAAAATCGGAATATTTTGGTTGATCATTCAAAATCCATCAAAAATAATGTAATGCAATGCAAATACTAAAAATCTAAACATAATGTTTTACCAGGATCTAGACCTATCCATGCCCACGGTGGTGTATTTAGAGGGTTATGAGGGGGGGCTGTTTTTGTCACAATTTGTCTTGTGTTTCATGTTGAGAATGGACAAAATGAATATATTTATATAATCTTTTCATTTACAATTGTAGCTAGCATTGATTTATAATGATTTCAATTTATAATTACTTTTCCCGTTCATAAGTTTATCCTTGAATGAATCCTGTAATCCTGCAGTATATTTAGATGTCGTCTTTGTTACAGCAAGTATTTCGGAAGAAAAACATATATTTCATAGCAAAAGCACAAGAGGAAAGCACAGGGTTTCGGAATAATCTAGATGTATAAATAGATGTTAACAGCCATATATAAAAGATTTAGGGGCTCCAGCAGCATCCCAAATCCTTGATCTAGTCAGAGTAGCGTGTTGAAAAATCCTATTTTAAAAGTTTAGTCTAGGAAATAACGGGTTTATTTTGACATAAATAAGATGTTTATGGAATAAATTTAAGTATTCCAGAGAAGTTTAGACAATTAACTGCAATGCGCTGGATGTTTTCCTACTTTTCTTGGAAAGGACGAGGAGGCCGGGAAGGTAAATATGGAAAGAAGAAATTCTAATTTTATAATCAACCTGTCGCAGGGATTATATAGTTCTATCCTTGAATCAGCAAGCTATGACTTTCAATCAAAATTTAACCAATTAAATATCAATTTTTCTTTTTTTCTTCAATACTTATTGGTCTGCGGATGGGTTTCAAATAATAAGTACAAAATGTCAACACTGCACATTTGAAGATGGTTGAACTATAGTCCAAATTGAAGATGGTTGAACTATAGACCAAATTCAAGATGGTTGAACTATATAGACCAAATTAAAGATGGTTGAACTATAGACCAAATTGAAGATGGTTGAACTAAAGACCAAATTGAAGATGGTTGAACTATAGACCAAATTGAAGATGGTTGAACTATAGACAAAATTAAAGATAGTTGAACTATAGACAAAATTAAAGATGGTTGAACTATAGACCAAATTCATGCTTCTCTAGGTACTGTCTATTGTAAAAGCACAATTTGATCATTCAAATACTGATAGAATTGGGCTCAAACAATGATGCGGGACTCACTTAGTCCTTAATCCTTCTTGAAGGGTATTTCTTAGTCAAATAATACTTTCAAGAATAATTAAAAAGTGGGACTAACTTTTATGATTAAGAAATATATCTTTAAGTGATATTAGAAATTGCTAATTTTGAAGACAAATCAAATCTGATATCTGAATATATTATCCCTGATCTAACCTTATATCTGAATATATTATCCATGATATAACCTGATGTATGAATATATTATCGATGATATAACCTGATATAAGAATACATTATCCCTAAACTAACCTGATATCTGAATATATTATCCATGATATAACCTGATATAAGAATATATTATCCCTAAACTAACCTGATATCTGAAGATATTATCCATGATATAACCTGATGTATGAATATATTATCCCTAAACTAACTTGATATCTGAATATATTATCCATGATATAACTTGATATAAGAATATATTATCCTTAAACTAACCTGATATCTGAATATATTATCCATGATATAACGTGATATCTGAATATATTATCCCTAAACTAACCTGATATCTGAATATATTATCCATGATATAATTCCTGTTATAAGAATATATTATCCATGATATAACCTGATGTATGAATATATTATCCCTAAACTAACCTAATATCTGAATATATTATCCATGATATAATTCCTGATATAAGAATATATTATCCATGATATAACGTGATATCTGAATATATTATCCCTAAACTAACCTGATATCTGAAGATATGTTATTATGGTTTCTTGTTGCTTTGGCTATAGATCTGTAGATACAAAAGTTTAGAACGGAGAGAAGAATAACAGGCAGTAAACCTAAGCAATAGAAAATATGAAGTGGGATCATTAAAACTGTGGATATTAAAACGACATCTTAGTAATTTTTATTTGTATTTGATGTTTGATTTAAAGCAAATAGTTATATTAGTAGCTTGTTTCATAATTAATGAACAATATGAAATCATGAGTTGAATTTAACTTCAGTCGTATTCCTATTCCACAGTTTCATGGGTCTCAAATAAATGAGGTTTGTTCTTTAAACATCGAATCATATTTTTATCTAAAGCCACTGTTTTTAGAAATGGATTTGTCAATTTACTTTATTGTTTCTGCTGTCTAAACCCGCATGATTTTCAGATATAGTTAAGGCATTGTCTTGCAAAATATACATTTAGTTAGTACATTGTCTTGCAAAATATACATTTAGTTAGTGCATTGTCTTGCAAAATATACATTTAGTTAGTGCATTGTCTTGCAAAATATATATTTAGTTAGTGCATTGTCTTGCAAAATATACATTGTTAGTGCATTGTCTTGCAAAATATACATTGTTAGTGCATTGTCTTGCAAAATATACAAAAATCAAGTTTATAAAATTGACTGACACCAAAAAGTATCTTGGAAGATTTAGTTTGAAAAGGATGGTTTATTTTCCAATCCTTGGCTCCAGTGGGTCAATAAATTAAGCTCAGAAAACAAAGAAAAACCCTCGATCAGTCAGGGTTGCCTTGACTAGGGCTGGGCCCGTAATTAGGGCTGGGCACGTGACTAGGTTTGGGCACGTGACTAGGACTGGGCACGTTACTAGGGCTGGGCACGTGACTAGGGCCATGGGCACGTTACTAGAGCTGGGCATGTGGCTAGGTCTGCGCACGTGACTAGGGTTGGGCACGTCACTAATTTTCGATTCGTTCGTGAGCGTTTCGTTGAATTAACGTAAAATTAAGGACCGATGAATTTTATTAAAAAAAATGCATCAATTATAATTTTTTTTCTCATTTTTTTCTTTTCATTTTTATTTATAATTAACGAAATCGTCAGTTCATTATTTAAGGAACTGAGTTCATGCCACAAACTCAAACTTTTCTAATCCCTATATCTTTGCAGCCTGAAAGTGCAAACCTTTAGTTTTTCAAACTTAGAGTGTTTGATCTATCAGAGTTCAAAGCTCTTATAATTAAAATGCCATTAAGAAAGACGGACATATTATCCAAATTCCAACCACAACGACATATGTTCATAGTTTTAAACATGATTTTTATCAATCGACATAGATTCAGCATGCTTATAAACAGTCTCATAAATTTTTAAGACAGGGTCGACTTTGAAGTGTCGCAACACCTTGAGGTTAGATTTTACCGCTCTACCTCACTTTTGCTTTTCTGTACATTTTAGCACTATTGAGAACTTGTTAGCTTTGGTTTTAAAGAATTAGTTGGCAAAATTCTCATCGAGACCTTGCTTTAGAGCATGAGACACAGTACTTACCCATGACAAGGAAGTTTAGCAGGAATACGATATACTTGGTGTAGAACTCAGATTCTCTACAATTAGAAAATAATATTATTCAGATATACACTGTTAATCAAAACATTATTAAATTATGGTCGTCTTCGTTCATAACTCAGGAACCCCTTGACCGATTTGGCTCAAATTTGGATTGGGAAACTCGGTAGAACCACGGGAATATTTTTAGCTTGATCTAAGTTGAGTGGTTTGGTTTCTATAGAGAAAAAAATAGTTTCCAGGCACAGCTGGGTTCCTAAGATAGAAAGTAACAAAATCTAAGGTTATTATAAATAAATTATAAATAAACCAGTTGCAAATAAAAAAATCCTTATTCACAATTCAAAATAAAAAGAATGAAAGAAGACGACATTCTATAGTCGTCTGGTACAGTGTTCATATTTAGAGAAACAAAATATACATAACATTATCATATCGGACATGTACTATTTGATTGGATTTTTTTTCATTATAAAAATAATTACTTTGTAAAAGTAATTTCATATTGTCAGAATAGAGGACTTTTTCATATTTGATGTTTATTTTCTTTTTATGATAATACTATCCATTATTCTATCACCTATCACAGGATTAGAGGTTTCTATATACAAAGCTAATCACAAATGATGATAATTTAGTGACAACCTAACGATTCGAATTAAACTGAAAACTCACGTTCATTTTAAAATCCATACCGACTTTTAGGCCGCCAGGCCGGCCGAGTTGCACATACAGACAATAGACGTAAAAATGGGAAAGCACACCAATTGAATCAATCCCTTCTTGTAAGAAGATAGCAGGCACCAAGAATGTTAGAAAAAAAGAAATTCTGTAAAATCTTCTTTGAAGTATCATTCTTTTTGGGTAATCCTGTAATCTGTATGATAACAAATCCCTTTCTGGAACCGGAGACCTGTATTTACCGACCCGGTCTTCTTCTTCTTCAAACTTTTATTAAAAATGTTTTCAAGTTTTGGACATATACAAGAGAAATTCTAAACTCTCAAGTTTTAAACTTCTCTATTTCATCCCACTCATTTGAGAATATAAAACCCAACTAAGCAGATAGAATAACACAAATAAATGAAGTTTTAAGTACCACAAAATCCGATTCACAAAATCCAATATTTTCATCGTCCAAATTTAAGTCAGAATAATGCTCAAACACTTTATATTGTAAAAAAAAAATAAGAATGTTACCTGAGAGGAGTCGGCTGTAGAACAATTTCTTCAAATATTTGAGTAATATTTTCACCAAACTCATTCACATTACTCACGCTAATAATACATACAATATTTGAATCTAAATCTATATATATATATATATTCACATTACTCACGCTAATAATACAATATTTAAATCTAAATCTATATATATATTCACATTACTCACGCTAATAATACAATATTTTAATCTAAATCTATATATATATTCACATTACTCACGCTAATAATACATACAATATTAAAATCTAAATCTAAATATATACTTTGCTTGTCTGTTTGTTCGTCTCTAGCTTAGTATCCAAAAAACGTCAAAACGGCGGAACCTATCATCAGGCCCAATTTTTTATGGCAACTCACACGACCCCAAATGTCAAATTTAAAACGTTTAGCTTGGAAAAAAATTGTCGACGGTCATTAATTTCAAATTTGCGCCAAATTAAACAGAAAAATTCGCCAAAATTTGCAAATGATTAATAATGGTCACTCTCAGGGCAATATTTAAAACTAAGTTAAAATTGCGAAGAAGGAAGGGGGCGCGAAGTGCCCTAGACTGATTACAAATAAGACAATCTCTGAACTGAATTGAAAAATCCCTGAACTCTATACTGATATTTCTAATTTTACTTTAAAAAAAAGTTAAAAATAGTAACTTTTTATCGAAAAATGGAGAAACCAATATTTACAATATTAAATATTTGATGATAAGATTTTTATCCCATCTTCAATAAAAATTAATCAGTGCGTGCAAACTTGCTTAAAAGACTAAAAAACAAGGGAAAATAATGAAAATTCTCTGGAATTACCAAGTATTAAAGGGACTGTAAACTTCAAGATAAGTGGCCCTATTTTTTAAAAGTGCAAACGTTTCCCTTCAAACCTATGACTAATAACAGATTTTTGAAATGTTCCCTTTTTTATTTATTGATAATTGATGATTTTCATTCGAGGGTTTTCCATAAAGAATTCTTCTGAATGGTTTTGAATGGAGCTGGAGACAATTTTAATGATTTTCTCACAAAAACAATTCTGCCAAATGCTTTTGCTAATAAAGGATTGCCAATTCTAATATTTTGCAGTGTTCATATAATGGTAAACTTTACATCATCTAATCGAAGAAATATTTTGCCAATTTATATTGGCAACATTATCTAAACTTCACATACACACAACGATGTTAGAGACTTATACAGTGGAACCCATACAAATGCGGAACAGGAAGACGACTGTTAGACTCAATAAGAATGAAACACAGCAATTGTGCAGTGTACACATACAGACACCTTTTCACTTGAAGAGACTGTAAAGGAAAAATGAAAGGGGGCATAGGCTGAAACCCAAGAATTTTAGCAGTTGATTGAGAAATTGATGTAAATACATCCGTATCATGTGACCAGAACTCCCACCAACGGTAATGCAGTATCATTATCACGTGACTCCGTCTATTTCTCGTGACCAGTATACTGCACTGCCATTGGTGGGAGTTCTGGTCACATGATACGGACGTGAATAGAGATGTTAACGTTTATATTTTTTTTAAAAGCGATTGTTTTTATAAACGATTGTTTTTGTAAAACTCGTCGTTTCATTAACGATCATTAACGACGGCCCTTGGTTAACGATCGTTAACGAAGAGAGGAAACCGATATGAAGGGCATTTGTACTAATCATTGAGTAGTTTGTAAGAAAATATCAAGAAGTTTTAGCTCCACCACAACTGTTTAACTATATGTAAGACGAGATTCAATAAACGTGCGTGTAATTTTTTTTTTCAAAAACGATAGTTTTTCCAAAAACGACCGTTTTTATAAAATTCTTCGTTTCGTTAACGATCGTTAATGAAAAGCCTTCGTTAAAGATCGTAAAAATAATTAATTTTTTTTTTCAAAAACAAAATCGTTTTTATAAAAAATATCGTTTTCAAAAACGGTCATTATTCGTTTTCTAAAAATTCAAAACGTGTGGGTCGTTTTTAAAAACGACCTTTTTTCCGAAAACGAAACGATCGTTTAAAGATCGTTTTCAAAAACGATTAACAACCTTACATTTAAATAATATTATCAATTATATCTTTAACAAATGAAACATTATTAAATTGAAATAATAATAGAAGAAAACCTCATGGATTTCGATCAACTCCAAAAATGTTTTAGCCTATACCTCCTTTCATTTTTCCTTTACAGTCCCTTTAATAAGTTCAAACTATTTGCTTTGTAACAATTCATATGATATGAATAGGATTGGTTAAATCTCATCTTCCTATACTTCACAGATTTATGGGTCTCACTGTATGTCTATGTATGTTTTGTTTCAGAAACAAAACATAAAGAAAACAAATTATTGGAAACCGATAAACTTGCCTAATACATACTTACATGTATACGTATATTTATGTAAAGTATACATCAGTTGTATACATATATCTATTTATGTATTTACAGTAATAATCTCTGTCAGGATGTTTGTATGTCCAATCATAAGTTCATAACTCATAAAAAAACCTTGACCGATATGCCCCTAATTTTGATTGAGGATTTCGTTAGAACCACGGAAATATTCTGAGTTTGGTTAAACACAGTTAAGGTGTGAGGCTGACTTTTAAAGAGGAAGGCATAGATAGGTTCCCAAGATAACATATTTATACAGGGTTACCCACAAAGGATGAGACTTCAGAGACGACTGTACCAAAGTTATTGAGTACTTTTTCTTACATTTTTGCATCCTTAAAAACAAGCTACAATTTTTCATAAAAGCATTTAATATGATACCATTAAAAGTCTATATAAAAGACAGAAAATCAAATATAACATTCAAATTGTCATTAAATTAAAGAGTTTTGGGTCTTTTTTAGCCTTCTCCTTTGTGGGTAACATTGTATATACAGATATATATATATATATATGCATGTCCTATGTTTACATTTATGCAGCATTTTTTGTGAACACAATTAATGGAATCTTTGTAAAATAGTTGAAATCAATATATTTGCTGTATATATCCACTATCCATATCCAATATATTTGCTGTATATACTATACAAATATGTATGTATATTACCTGGTGGTTGCCACGACTGTCTCCAACTCCAGCATCTTGTTCACGTTGTAGAGGACAGAGAACCCCGTGATCAGAGTTATATACACCATCCCATCATACATCTAAATATTCAAGCAAATAAAATATTAGTTAAATGTCGTCCTTAGTTTTCGTAGTCATGTGTTTAAATAAAAAAGGGATTTTTACTTTTTTTAAACACATAAATGTAACAAATATATCAAAAATATTCGTAATCCAAGACATGAATAATCCTATACTACCACTCAAAAATGTGCCTGAGAATTTGTCGACCAAAATAATCTATACTTAAGTTAACCATTTTTTCCAGAACTTGCAGCAACAATACAAGAATGGGTCATACAAAATTCTTTTTTAAGTGCAAAAAATTGATTTTCTGTTCTAAACGCAAGTTCTACATGCGTTTTTTTGCTGGAGGAATTAAGTCTTTGCTACAAATTGAAATTGTCTAATCCTTTTATCGACGACATAGGGTTGCAAAGATATAGTATAGAATCGGAGACTAGAGTAGAAAATCAGAATTTGTGGCAAAGACTCAATTTTTTTCGTGTACATTTTTAATCAAATATTTGTAATAAAAGTTGTGTGCATCTCCTTCAATTTGGTCTGTTTTAAAATAAGATGAAGTTCAGTAAATTGTTTTCTCTTTTTATAAAAATATATATTTACATGAATGAAATAAAAACTGATGCAACTATATTTATATTTTGGTGCAGCCATCAGCAACAGATCTTAAAAAGAGAAAATACATAAATCAGAGGGAGGTCTAGAGGAGAGATAAACTGGACAAACTTGTAGAACGCAATATATCATCAGGACTATGTATATACTTGTATTACATAAATGTTTTCAAGCATTCTAGAAAAAATGTCTAAATAAGCAACAAATATTTTTTTTGACATTTCGGATATCATTTAATGAATCTGAATATGGTAAAATGTCTCCCTTAAAATGGCAGATCACGTATTAGAAATCCCAAGACTCAACTGTGCACAAGTGGATTTTATGAAGTACTGTATCTAATTCCAATATTTAGTGGACCCCCTCCCTTACTACAATATTTAGTGGACCCCCTCCCTTACTTCTAGTCAGATTCTGCTAGCAGAATATTTAGTGGACCCCCTCCTAGGGACTGCTTTTGTAATTTCAAGAGATCCTCTATTTAAAGATACCATTTTAATCCGTCATATGTTCAGAATGGTTTAATTCTGATAGTTTCTTCATTATTTTTAAAGCAATAAATGCGCAGGTCACTTTTGTAGAGAAACCTTAAATGAAAATAATTACGTACAAATCCTCTTTAACAAAGAAATATATATTTACCTGTAAATTGACAAGATTTATAACAGATCTCACAGAGAATTGAAAATAAATCTCACAAAGGAAATACGACTTTATATTTTGTAAGAAATATTTCTAGAAGCAGTTTGAGTTACTGTTAAAACAAGTCTTCCTTAAATGTTTATGTTTGTTGAGACACACTGTTTTTTCCTCCTTAAAAAGACTGTCATTGTACGACGTACGTATTACGTACAGGGTGTCCCAATAAACAAGGGAATTCAGTGACGAATTCGATATCGTCTTTTTAAATAATTCTTTGATTTAGAATAGTGATACCTACTGAGAAAGCTGTAATCTGTAAGAGTTTCGTCTGCTATATTGACTTTTTGTTTGTTTATGTTTTGACTGCATACGATTGTACTTAGTAAAACAAGAAAATTGCAGTATACAATCAGAGTAAACTTGTCCGTCTTCACTGTTCAACTTGCGGAGACATTATAGACACATCTTTACATGCCATTTACCCTTTTCATAAAATAAACTGTAGCAGAAATAATGATATTAAGGCTTTTGAAATTAAGTATTACAATGCTAAATCATAACAAAGACGATATCCAATTCGTCACTTAATTCCCATGTTTTTTGGGACACTCTGTAGTAAAGAGAACCATCAAATATTTACATCTTAAATTAAGAAAACCTGAACTAATTTAACATTTTCTAATTTAAGTATCAGTATTATGCTGACAAGTTCCCTAAAGGGATTGTAAACGCAATTTCAAGTGACCCTTCATTCAAAAATGACAATGCTCGATCTACAATGATACCCTTTAAACCTTAATCTGATCAAAAATGTGGAAACCGCAAATGAAAATAAACGATTTAAAGAAAATTCACATGGATATCTAACTCATACTTGATCAAACAAAGCTTTAAGCTGGTGTTGTTGTGAATCGTGCATTGTCACTTTGCATGGAGGGTCACACTCACATGAAATTACGCTTACCACCATAGTTTCAGTAGAAGTAAATATTTCCATTTACTGATAACGCCGATTTAAGGATTCATAACTCCGATTGGATAATGAGATAGATAGAAATATAGCTGTTACCGCAAAAATATTTCGATTTATTCAGAATAGCCATCAAACACCTGACTGAACCCTGATTGGATCAGGCGCTAATGGACGCGACATACAGGAGTGTTACAGTTACTTTAAAGATGCAGAAGGGTAAGAAAAAGAAAAGTTGTCCGACTACTGAGGTCTATTTAAACTACCTTTAAGTCATGTTTTGAGGGACACCCTGTAATTCATGAAAAGTAAAGAGTGAATATATTTCTAAATCTTGTTTTCTGCACCTTTTCCCTAATTCTATTAAAAGTTTTTAAAAAAATTTATCTGCTAACTAGGGTTTCCAGCGAACGAAAGTTTCGCGAAAAAATGTGAAAATTTCGTTTGTCTTTAGCAAACTTTTTCGCGAAATTTCGCATTTTTCGCGAGCGAACTATATGCGAAACCTTAGGTCCACCCATACATACATATATATATATATATAAAATCCTTTTCAGAAGAAGCTCACGTCGGACAGATGAATGAATGGATTTCCTATTGAAAAGGTGACTTTTTGATTAGATTACTTAGAACTTGAGAGGAAGAGGAGGGGAGGGGGGACAGGGGTGTTAGGTTAGATACATTAGAAAATATGGTCGAGTAGAAGACAAAATAAAGTGTAGGGATGATATAGGACAAACTATAGTGTAGGGAAGATATAGGACAAAATATAGTGTAGGGAAGATTTGGGACAAAATTTAGTGTAGGGATGATATAGGCCAAAATATAGTGTAGGGAAGATATAGGACAAAATATAGTGGAGGGAAGATATGGGACAAAATATAGTGGAGGGAAGATATGGGACAAAATATAATTTAGGGAAGATATAGGACTAAATATGGTGGAGGGGAGCTTTAGGACTTAATATGAGGAAGAGAAGGTATAGGACTAAATACGGTGGTGGGAAGATATAGGATTAAATATGGTGGTGGGAAGATATAGGACTAAATATGGTGGAGGGAAGATATAGGACTAAATATGGAGAAGAGAAGGAATAGGACTAAATATGGGGGTGGGAAGACATAGGACTAAATATGGTGGTGGGAAGATATAGGACTAAATATGGTGGAGGAAAGATATAGGACTAAATATGGTGGTGGGAGGATATAGGACTAAATATGGCGGAGGAAAGGTATAGGACTAAATATGGTGGTGGGAAGATATATTACTAAATATGGCGGAGGAAAAGTATAGGACTAAATATGGTGGTGGGAAGGTATAGAACTAAATATGGTGGTGGGAAGATATAGGACTAAATATGGCGGAGGGAATATATAGGACTAAATATGGTGGTTGGAAGGTATAGGACTAAATATGGGGGTGGGAAGATATAGGACAAAATATGGCGGAGGAAAGGTATAAGACTAAATATGGTGGTGGGAAGATATAGGACTAAATATGGCGGAGGGAATATATAGGACTAAATATGGCGGAGGGAAGGTATAGGACTAAATATGGTGGTGAGAAGGTATAGGACTAAATATGGCGGAGGGAATATATAGGGCTAAATATGGTGGTGGGAAGGTATAGGACTAAACATGGTGGTGGGAATATATAGTACTAAGTATGGTGGATGGAAGTTATTTGGAAGATAATTAACAAGTGATAAAAAAGAAAATATTTCATATCTAATTCGTGACCTGAATAAGATAAGAATAATATAATAATAAACAAGTAAATGACCGGTCAAACAAAAAGTTGAAAATGAAATCTTTAAAAATGTATATTATTTTTTCAGGGTGTCTAAATAAGCATTGAAAATTAGACATTATAATATTTAGTTTTTTCTTTTGATTTTATAATAAATCCAAAGCTTATCTTTATGCCTAAAAAATTTACGGATATTTAAGATATTTAGACAATTTTTATTTTATTTTATAACTTAGAATATGGAAAAAGGAAACGATTACTCGCTTAAACGAATCCCATTATCTTTTCAAACTGAAAAGTGTAAACCTTTGATATTCAAATTGAACCATTTGAACTAACAACGGTCTGTGACATCAGATTGCAAAGATATGGGGATAATTAACGTTAGAATTTGCCTGAATTTATTAGTTCCTTTCTTAATATATTCGTGAACTTTTGCAGAATTTAGGAAATTAACTGAATGGCAAGACTTACTTAGTAATGATTTCATTAAATACTACTTGTGGGCTTAAAAATGTCAGGTTCACGTACAGATCCAATATATCACGTACAGATTCAATATTTCACGTACAGATCCAATATATTACCTACAGATCCAATATATCACGTACAGATCCAATATTTCACGTACAGATCCAATATATTACGTACAGATTCAATATTTCACGTACAGATTCAATATATCACGTACAGATCCAATATATCACGTACAGATTCAATATATCACGTACAGATCCAATATTTCACGTAAAGATCCAATATATCACGTACAGATCCAATATATCACGTACAGATCCAATATTTCACGTAAAGATCCAATATATCACGTACAGATCCAATATATCACGTACAGATCTAATATATCACGTACAGATCCAATATTTTGAGGCACTATGTTAACTAGTTAAGCTAATAGAGATTTACTTTAAGACAGAGAAGTACAAAGAAGTAGGTTTTTTTCTTTTCTAGACATTTGTTAACAATACCTAACAGTTTCCTAGACATTTGTTAACAACACCTAACAGTTTTCTAGACATTTGTTAACAACACCTAACAGTTTTCTAGACATTTGTTAACAACACCTAACAGTTTTTGTTTATCCTATTAGGGTGTAAATCAGTTAATCTTTATTTAACTGTCAGTAATAGTAGGTTAGACAGGGGGATCTTGTTAATATTATTTACGAGGGGGAAATAAGGTTACAAAGAGTTATTCTTTTATTATGTTTAATTCAACTTTATTATAAATGTTGTATACGATGCTGTTTCAAATCCTATATGTGTATAAATGTCTGACCCGATCAGATCCAATTCTTTTTTTAAAACACACATGAAGGATCGAAACCAGAAAAACAAGGAAATTTTATTAATGAAGAGTTTTTTAAATACAAAGGGAAAAAAATGGTGGCCGTTAAATCAGCGTTCAAGCGCTGAAAAAGAGCGTTGCGGCGCCATGGAAGCATCGCATTTTTTAATCAATCAAAACTAAATGAGAAATGGAGTGGTACGTTGGGTGTTTACTTCATGTTTAAAACGTCATTTCCGGATAACTAATTTTTCTCAAAATAAAGTTTCGGTAAAATGCAATTTAACCCTGGTAAAGAAAATGTGTAATGAAAGAAAGTTAATAAAGAGAAATTTGTATTATCTGGTTTAAGGTCGTTAAATAAATGTTTTCTTAGCTCTCTATACAATATGATGAAAGCAAAGAAAAAAGATTAAATGATTTACATTTTAATTATATATTCTGGTGAGTGTTCAGGATAGAAATAACTTGATTAAAGTTTCTAATAAAAACACGGGAAAGTTTTGATAAAGCTCTCCACAATCCACTTTCATGTCCTAACTCCTTTAAGGGTTTCCAATGCTGCGCAAGTGGATTTTACTTGTGCACAATTGCGATCCCTCTAATTCCGCGCAATTCCACGCAATTCCACTCAATGCCGCGCAATTTCGGAAAATTCCGTGCAACGGAATTAAATTGAAAACTCTACTCCTCACACAGGTCTAATCAGAGCAAAGTGTGATCTGACAAGACCTGACTCTACGGAAAACAAATCAGCAATTCAAAAGCAAAATCTATAACATTTAACATTAAAAACGCAGATCAGGTATTGAAGGATAAGATATTGAAGGACCCGGTATTGAGGGATCAGGAATTGAAGGATCAGGTATTGAAGGATCAGGTATTGAAGGATCAGGTATTAAAGGATCAGGTAATGAAGGATCAGGTATTGATGGATCAGGTATTAAAGGATCAGGTAATGAAGGATCAGGTATTAATGGATCAGGTATTAAAGGATCAGGTAATGAAGGATCAGGTATTGAAGAATCAGGTACTGAATGATCAGGTATTAAAGGATCAGGTATTAAAGTATCAGGTATTGAAGGATCAGGTATTAAAGGATCAGGTATTGAAGGATCAGGTATTGAAGGATCAGGTAATGAAGGATCAGGTATTAAAGGGTCAGGTAATGAAGGATCAGGTATTGAAGGATCAGGTACTGAAGGATCAGGTACTGAAGGATTAGGTATTAAAGGGTCAGGTACTGAAGAATCAGGTAATGAAGGATCAGCTATTAAAGGATCAGGTAATGAAGGATCAGTAACTAACCTGACAAGTATTGAATGGGAAGCAAACTGTAATGAATCTCTCCAGAGCAAGAGAGATCACTGTGTACACGCTGCCGGTCAGAGCGATATGGAGACATGGTACCGAATACGGAGTGATACGGGGGAGTATCTGCAGACAGATATTTTGACATTTTAGCATTGAACATTGTACAGGGTTACCCGCTAAAAATAAGACTTTAAAGGAAGGGAGTTAACTGAGTTAAATGTATGGCAGTTGAACTTAGAATGTAGTATTGTGTAGAAATGTTTTAAGAATCCTATGAGACGTTTTTACGGTGCATATATATTCAGCAAGATAGAAATTCAATCTTTAAAATCCTCATAGAAATTGTTAATTTTTAAGTGATGATTTTGAAAATTGATTTTTAAATAATGACGACGAAAAATGTAGTAAAAATTTACAGTAAACTAATTGGTTGTTTATAAACAGGTTGAGAAAATAAATTTAGCTATTGTCATCGAAAAAAAGTAATCTTATTCAGTTATTGGTTTCTGTAATGTCTCATTGTTCACAAACATTTTCTGTACATTTCCTAGAATTTGTATTTGAAAGACGACATTGAAGAATTTGAAGAAATCTGCGAACAAATTCATAAAGAATAAGAAATTCAACATAATGATGAAAAAGAAGTAATTTTGATTCTAACATTGATTTATTGAGAAAATTTCAATTGAGAAATAAGTTCCTGAACAACTAATAGTTTTTTGTAGAAATTTTTTTACATTTGTCGTCGTTATTTAATAATTTTGAAAAATCAATTCGATTTAACAAAATTTATTTTTATGTCAATTTTTCCTGAGAACTGTAGTACTCTGAGTGTACAGGGATACTATACTGTACAAGAACACCGATCTAGAAACAAAACAAATATTTAAAATCAAGAGAAATCATGCTTGTTTGCAAACAAAGTTAGGAAGAGGGTTGGCCAATTTAAAAGTTGAAATTGAAAACCATTCAACCAATGGAAAATATACCAAAAGTTTTTAAACTCCATGATTGGGCATCATTACAGACTACTGAGCATCATACTTTTAAGGTCTTTCAGAAAGAGCATTTTTGTGATTCATCATACTTCAATCTAAACAATCTACAAGGAACCGATAATATGGCTTCAAAATAAAAATAAATCTTGTGTTTTTGAAATTGACAAAAAATCTTTCAGTATCAATAGTTTTCAATAAAAGGGGGGGGGGGGGCATCCGTATTTTTTCTTGTAAAAAAATTAAACTTTATTTTTTTTTAATTCACACAAAATTGAAAAATCGGCAAAAATTATTTTAACAATTTCAGAAAGCTTGGCACAAGACCTTCTTTGAAGTTTGTAATTTTTAATTCCATGTTTTCTATAAAAGTGGCATTTGTGTTATTACAGCAGATACATGGAAGGAAAATAAAATTATAATTATATATCTTTTCAAGATAGAAAAAAGAAAATATATTCCTCATTGTTATTTAGAAAAAGATTGATTTACCCTTATAAAACGTGCATGAAGCTCTTTAAATCTAATTGAGCATGAGACTTGATATTTCGTTAACAGATCCTATAAGAATTTAACAGGTTGGATTAATTGTAATGTGTCCCCCTTGTACCTGGAATTTACAGCTTTACATAAATTACTTTAGATTAGAATAAATTTTCAGAATAGATTTAGTTTCTCTTTATTTATGCAGAATTCATCCAGTTTTTTATCCTCCATCCATTTATTTCAAATTAATTTAAAGATGCATTTTTTGTCTTTTATAATGTTTTATATTTAGGAAATTTGATGTAATTTTTTTTAATATGATGTTTATAATTTCAGTCGAAAATGAGTTTTTGCCACAAATTCAAGTCTTCTAATCCCAAATTGCAACCTGATGATGTTAACCTTTGGTGTTAAACTAAGACTGCTTAATAGGGCTTATTACATTGGGTTACAACGATATAGAGATAAGAAAATCCTTTGAGAAAATCACTGTTTGTGGCAAAATCTCAGATTCTTCACAATAAAATTTTGTTGAAAAGATAAAGTTTTAAAATAGATAAAACATTTAAAATAGATAAAACATTTAAAATAGATAAAACATTTAAAATAGATAAAACATTTAAAATAGATAAAACATCTTTGAAAAAATTAACAAACAAATTATTTGAATTTTGTCGCTCCCGGAATGGAATTTGTTTTTAACAATTTTCTAGAAACTTTTTGAATTTATTTAAAGGGACTGTAAAGGAAAAAATGAAAGGGGGTATAGGATGAAACCTGTAAATCTCATGTGTTGAAAGATACATATAAGACATCTATATGATGTTTCTGACTAAAAAATTGATATAATAAAACTGTGTCAAATTTATACGAAAATTCATGTATATGTAATTTTCTATAAAAGTTGTAGGTTTAAACAGATCATATTCAGCATATACGAAACCAATCTGAAAAAGACTATATCCTATAGGAACCTGAGAATCTCAGGCTTGCTCCTGTTATGTTTATTTAATTTTTATTTAGCATTTTCAATAGATATAATTGATAAGATAAGATAAGATAAGATAACGTTTATTGCTAAAATAAATGTATCTGTATACAGATAGAGTTTACAATCACAAAATTGATGATTATATTAACAGTACAAGTATAAAGCAATTAGGTGGAAAATAGCTCTTGGCTGTTTTGATTATTTTTTCCACCTAATGTTAGTAATAATAACAAAATATTTCAATTAAAAAGATTTAAGGAGAACGATTAGAGATCAGGGTGCGAATTTATCATATGCAAAATAGTTTATACATAAATTCGAATAACTAGAGTTTAAAGTAATTTTCAGACATGTACACAACAAATATCAAAGCATATTAAAACATATCTAATTAGTTTTACATGAATAGCAATTCGGTTTATAACACATTGTCCTATAATTTTCAAAAAGAGAATTTAGTAGTCTATTTTTAAATATACTTAGAGAGTTGCTTCTTTTTAAGTCAAGAGGCAGGTTATTCCACATCTTAAGAAGAGAGCTTGATGGTAAATACTGTAATGAGCACATTTTGAGAATGTCAAGTTGATAGTTAAGAGATCTTTCAAAGTTTCCAAGCTTTTTAAAAATATTTTCAAAAGATGCAGGAAGAAGTTTATGTGTATATTTATACATAAATATAGCTTGGTTAAAGTCTACCAGATCATTAATCTTTAGAATCTTATACTTAAGGAAAAGAGGATCACTATGAGACGTGGCTTTTGAGTTATCAATTAATCGTATTGCTCGTTTCTGTAAAATGTGAATTTGTTTCATTTCTGAACATTTGTTACATCCCCAGGCTGAAATTGCATATTCTGTAAATGATCGAAATAATGAGTTGTAAATGGTTAGTTTAATATTACTAGGAAGAATATTTTTTACACTTGACAAAGCAAAAACTGCACTGGATGCATTGTTTTTAACCGCCTTAAGATGATGATATTATTACATTTAATCCGTATAGTCCGTATAACGTCACCGGTACTTCAGCCAATGGCAGTGCAGTATGCTAATCACGTGATTTATGTCTGTACCACGTGACAACGATGCTGCACTATCATTGGTTGAAGTTATTCTGACGTAATACAGACTATACGGACTATATGAAACAATAATATCAATTATATCTATTCAAAATGCAAAATCAAAATTAAAAAAATTATTATAGGAGCAAACCTGACATTCTCAGGATCCTCCTGTGGGATATAATTGTTTTCAGATTGGTTTCGTATTTGTTGAATATGATCTGTTTAATACTGCAACTTTTATTCAAAATAGCATATTTCTTAGGTTTCATCCTATACCCCCTTTTAATTTCCCTTTACAGTGTTTTTAAGTTAAAAATATTTGAGTAGGTAAATAAGAATATTGTAATTTTCACTGTTAAACCTATAAAACTCTGGACTAGGAAGACGAAATTATTCATCTGCATTTAATTTTGATATTAAGCTAAAAAATAATCTTATTACGTAAAATGGTCAGTAATTGAACTATTTAGGATATAAACTTGAGTCTAACAGTCGTCTTCCTATTCCATAGATTTATGGGATAGATTTTGTGTTGAAAAGTTTTGATGAAAAGGCTGGAAGGGTGACATGAACCCTCACGGTTTTAACGAATTCTCCAGGGATAAGATTCAACCAATTTTATTCTTTTATCCATCCCAGGAACAAATTCTCAAGACATGAAATTTCTTTTTAAAAAAATATTCAGATAAAAATCATCAAAAACTTTTCTTTGAATCTCTCGGTTTTATTTTCTCAATAACTTTCCGAGTTTTTGGTTGAAATTTATGATTGTATCTCATTTACTTTTATGGAAGTATAAACCTAACTTTCTTTAAAGATTGCAGATTACTTTTTTGCATTTATATTTCCCAATTTGCATACATACAAGGAGCAGAAATGTTCTGTTCTAAATTGACCAAAAAATCTCGAAATTGGCAACAAAATTTGTTTTAAGAAACTCAATAAGAATATGAATATGTATTTATAACTATAAATACATTTTTAAATCTAAATAAAAAACATTTAAAGAGACTCTACATAAACCTTAATTCAATTGACTTGCAAGTTTTAAGGTAGTGTTCGCGAAAAATGAAAGGGGGTATAGGCTTACGGCGAAAAATTATCGATGGTGATCGCTACTAATCTTACTTCTATCTGATGCGTATATAAGGAGAAAGGAATTGAATCTTTGGAACAAAATCAAATATTTAAACCACAATATCTTTAAAACTCGATGTTGTAAACCTTTGATATTTCAAACTCAGATTTCTTGATCTAACAGAATTCATAGTTTGAAATATCTAAGGTATGCAACATTTGGTTTCAAAGATATAGTGATTAGAAAATCAGAGTTCGTGGCAAAGACTCAATTCCTTTGTTAAAAACGAAAATTGCTAAATACCACTCGGATCGTTCCAAAATCAATTTAATTCCAAACAAATCATTCAGATATTACAACTTACAATCATCTCTCATTTTTTGACGCATTCCTATATAGTTGATATCTCATATAATAATATTTAGCTTACAACTTAAACAAAAGTATCTATGAGATCATAAAGCAATAAAAAATATTATGAAATATTAACTATTTACGAATGC